GGCAAACAATTGAGGAACTTAAATCGGAATTATATGTGGCACAGAGGGATGACAGAAGACCAAGGGAGGAGATTACGGAATTAACATTACGGTTGAAAGAAGCTTATCGAGATGAGGAACTGTACTGGTATCAAAAAAGTAGGTGCTCTTGGATGCAACTAGGAGATAATAACTCAAAGTACTTTCATGCTCTAACAAAACAGAGATGGACAAGGAATCAGATTACTGGGTTGCATGATGCAAACGAAATTTGGTCTGCGGAAGATAAAGATATTCAAAATATAGCGGTCTCTTATTTTAAGGATTTGTTTACTACAACCAAGCCCGAGGCTTTTGAGGAGTCGCTGGCTGAAATTCAAAGTCTGATTACGGATCAGGTTAATAATTTTCTAACGGCACCTGCTACAGAGAGTGAGGTGAGAACAGCTCTGTTTATGATGCATCCGGAAAAATCGCCAGGGCCTGATGGCATGACAACCATATTTTTCCAAAAGGCTTGGATTACAATTAAATCAGATCTTCTTGTTCTGGTTAATTCTTTTTTAGAGGATTGAATTTTTGATAAACGGTTAAATACGACAAACATTTGTCTGATCCCAAAAACGGAAAGGCCGACACGGATGATGGAATTACGGCCTATTAGTCTATGTAATGTGGGCTATAAAATTATATCGAAGATTCTTTGTCAAAGACTTAAAACGGTTTTACCAAAACTGATTTCGGAAACACAATCGGCTTTTGTCGAAGGACGATTGATTTCGGATAATATACTTATTGCACAAGAGATGTTTCATGGGTTGAGGACTAACCCGACATGTAAAGGAAAAATTATGGCCATTAAAACTGATATGAGTAAAGCTTATGATAGAGTGGAATGGATTTTCGTTGAAAAGGTTCTAAGAAAATTAGGTTTCTGTGAGAAATGGATTACCTGGATAATGTGGTGTATTACAACAGTTCAATATAGAGTGCTCCTTAATGGGCAACCTAGAGGACTAATTGTACCAGAAAGGGGATTACGGCAAGGGGATCCGCTTTCTCCTTATTTCTTCTTCCTTTGTACAGAGGTACTAATTGCGAATATTCGGAAAGCAGAAAGGGAAAAACTAATTATGGGTATTAAGATAGCAAATGAAAGCCCTTCGGTTTCACATATGTTATTTGTGGATGATAGCTTATTCTTTTGTAAGGCAAATAAAGACCAGTGTGAGGTAATATTGGGGATTTTAAAGAAATATGAAGCGGTCTCCGGACAGCAGATTAATTTTTTAAAATCCTCGATTCAGTTTGGACATAAGGTAGATGAGGATATCAAGGAGGAAATCAAATCTACCTTGGGAATCACTAATATCAGTGGCATGGGTTCTTATCTTGGTCTGCCAGAGAGTTTGGGTGGATCTAAAACAAAAATTTTCTCTTTTGTCAGAGATAGACTGCAAACAAGAATTAACGGATGGTCGGTAAAAATTTTATCGAAAGGTGGGAAAGAAGTGATGATTAAATCGGTAGCTGCAGCACTACCAACTTATGTTATGTCGTGCTTCAGACTACCGAAAACAATTACTTCTAAACTTATTAGTGCGGTTGCTAAATTTTGGTGGAGTTCAAATGGAGATTCTAGAGGTATGACTGGATGGCTTGGAACAAGTTGTGCAATAGTAAATCAAAAGGAGGGTTAGGCTTTCGGAATGTAGACGATTTTGATTCAGCCCTATTAGCTAAACAATTATGGCGGTTATTACGGTTCTAGATTCCCTTTTTGCAAAGGTGTTTAAAGGGCGGTATTTTCGGAAATCCAATCCCTTGGAAAATATTAAATCATACTCCCCATCATATGGATGGCGTAGTATCTGTTCAGCTAGATCTCTGGTTAATAAATGACTTTTTAAAAGGGTCGGATCGGGGACATCCATCTCAGTTTGGGAGGATCCCTGGATTCCAGCTCAATTCCCGAGACCAGCAAAGAGTAATGGTTCACTTGTTGATCCATTGTTAAAAGTAAACAATCTTATAGATAGTCAGTCGAATTTTTGGAATATTGCTCTCCTAGAGGAGATCTTTGATCCAGAAGATATCGCCATCATAAGTGCCCTACCTGTGGGTGCGCCAACTAAGGAGGATACACTGGGTTGGCATTTTATAAAATCCGGAAAATATACAGTCAAATCGGGATATCATACCGTACGGTTAGGAAATTTGGAGACAAATTACTCATTGATTGGTCCAGACATCAAACCGTTGAAAGCACATTCTTGGCAAGTGCATTGTCCACCTAAGATACGTCATTTCTTATGGCAAATTTTAACGGGTTGTGTACTAGTTACGGAAAATTTACGGAGAAGAGGAATCGATTGTGATACAGGTTGTGCCAGATGTGGCGAACCAGTGGAAACAATCAATCATACACTCTTTCAGTGCCACCCGGCACGACAGGTTTGGGCACTCTCTCAGATTCCTACAGCAATGGGAAATTTTCCAACGGAGTCTATCTTTGCGAATTTGGACCATTTATTTTGGAGAATACCTTCGGACTTCGACTCTTCAGCCTTTCCATGGATTATCGGGTATATATGGAAAGCAAGGAATGAAAAAATATTTAAAAATATTGATAAAGATCCGTTGGAGGTATTACAGTTAGCAAAAAAAGAAGCACAATTGTGGCAGTCTGCCCAAATTGAGCTTCATCATGAAACGCATGATACTGTGGAATTGGTAAATCGGTCTCGAGTGGGGAATACTTCACTTGACTCGAATTATTCAGGATACCGTTGCTTTGTGGATGGATAGTGGAAAGAAAGTGATAAGTTTTCCGGTACAGGATGGTTCTGTACATCATCAAATGGAGAGCCGCCAACATGGGAGCTGCAAATCTCCGTCGAAGTTTATCTCCATTACATACCGAGTTTGAGGCCCTTCTCTGGGCGATGAAGTTCCTTACAGACTGTTCTGATCTGGTTAAGATGGTGTCTTCTCCAACTGAATGGCCGGCGTTTTCAGTGTACTTGGAGGAATTTCAGAGTGACAAGGAAGAATTCTCATATTTCTCTTTATCTTTAATTTCTCGCAATGCTAATGTAAAAGCGGATCATCTGACACGAAAAATTCGTACAGAACCGCTTCATATCACATTTGTAAACAACATTCCACAAGAATGGCTCTTTTGAGTTCTAATTAATTTCGGATGACAAAAAAAAAAAAGTGCATTTTCAAAAATAAAATATAATAATAAGGTCTTGCAAATTATTTATTATAAAGTGAAATAAATAATATAGCATATGATCTATTTCTAAATTATTTTAATTTTTCTTATCTTTGAATGATGAAAAAAAAACAAAGGAAAAATATATGATTTTTTTTTGAGCATTTAAAGACAAATATATGTCACATGTCATGAAAAAGAAGTTAAAAACTTCATGAAGAGCTCATTTTTAAATTAGAATTAATGGCCAAACTCTTATCTACACTTTTGTTATAGAAAAAAAGAAGGAGAAGATGATGATAGAGTTGAAGGATAAAATCTAATATTTGAGATTATGATCGCTGATTTTTTCGTTGGGAGATGGGTATTTTTTTTTTCCAAAAACGTCTACTTTTTATTCTTTGTTGACCTTTTTCCTTGAGAAAAAGTTTTATTACATACTAATTTCTACATTCAAAATAAATTTCATAATGCATATTCCAATACTTTATATTTTTAGCCACTCTATACGTACTTTACCTTTCTTTATAAAAAAACTAGATATGGACCCGTGCAACATATGCCAATACTTAATATTTTATTTTATTTTTGTAAGCTTAACTAAAATTCTATAAACATATATATTTTAGAAAATGCAGCATAATTATTTCTAAATATAGATTTATTAGCATAATGCACAATATAAAACATTATTTATAGTTATGTTATAATAATTATTAAATTATCTAATATAAATATTGGCCTATTTATAAAATTATATAATTTTTTGCTTATTATAAGTTATGAAGTCATAAATGTTCATATGTTGTATTATTGAATTTTAATAAGTTATTTACATACACCGGAAGAGTGTGTTACATCTTATAATTTCAATGTGGACAAGATGGAAACAAAACTATGATAATAAGAAAAGATAAAATTATATAGTTACGTAAACATATGAACGATATATGTAAACATGTAGTCTGAGTTACGTAAATATAGATATTTTTTAAGAAAAGTTTAACTTCATAATAAAATTGTGACAATAAAAGAAGAGAAATATGAGACTGTTTATATCCATGTCATGTAACTTAATTGATAATATGAAATATCCTCAATTTGCTACATGGCTTTTGTCATTTTAGCCCCACATTACAAATTTCTTCGTTTTTTCTTCTTTCTAATTCTCAAATCTCTATGTATCTCTCATTAGATTTCTCTTATTTTTATTCGAACTCCTCTTTCTTTCTCCTTCTCTCACTCTCGTCGGATTTCTTCACCACCGTATCTTTATTTATTTTTTCTCTATCTCAATTTCTCGTATTTATCGGACATCACTACCGAGTCTCACTACTCTGACCCACCACCACAACTAAATCTCACTACTATCACAATCAACACCACCATCAATACTGAATCTCGCTAATTCCGACTCACTACCTTTATCAATATTTACCGCCGCCATCACCACCAAGCTTGAACCCCCATCCTCTTTCCCCAACTTCTCTTATTACTCCACCTTCTTTATCTCCTCCGACATTAATTAGACAAAGCCCCTCCGACAATAACTCTAGTCTATGTCTATCGCCATTCATAATTATAAATTTGCCTCAATTGCCATATATTCATTAGATCTGAATATCACATGCTATTTTTAGAAAAACATCGTGATTCGAAGTATTTTTTATAATTGATATGATATAATTGCATAATTTTCTTAATTTTTTTCCTAATTTTAAATTTTTTTCTTGGACAGTTAGTAACTTATAAATAAAACGTTTAGCATAATTTTATAATTTTGATTTTTATGGAAATATACATATAAATTCTCTATATATATGTGTAGTTTGTTGGGAAAACGGTTTTTTCATCCCTAAACTAACTTACTTTGGCCAATTCCTCCCCCTAACTTTGTATTGTGCCAAAAACCTCATGAACTAATTTATATTTTGAATTACCTACATGAATAAAACAAATTAGGCGGAAATACACAAATCGCTCAACGCTGTTACTGTTCCGTTAATGACAAGCTGACTAGGATGCCACATCATCAATCAAAAACGACGTCGTTTTAAACATCTTACCCAACAAAAATAAAACGACGTCGCATACATCATTCATACAAAATCGAATTGGGGATTTTATTAGGGTTCATCGAATTCCAATTGGGGATACAAAGTGTTCCGCCTTTGAGATAGAGAGAGATCAAAGACTAAGGGTTTCAGGTTGATGAGAGTCTGGTTTGAGAGAGAAAGAGAACGAAGACAAAAGCTTTCGGGTTTGAGAGAGAAAGAGATCGCAGACACGGGTTTTGGGTTTGAGAGAATCGGGTTTGAGAGTGAAAGAGAAAGACAGTGACAGTGTTCTGGGTTTGAGAGAGAGAGAAATCGAAGACTGTTGGTGATGAAAATGCACAAGATGACCGGAAACAAATGCGCAATGGTGATGAAAATTTTAAGAAGATGTGTATGGCTGCAAGGTGGACCAAACACATTGATACATTTGTGGAGCCTGATATCAATGAAGTTGAGACTGATGATGCTAATAGAAATCAGGAAGAAACAAGAGATGATTCTGGACAGTTTGAAGAAGAAGCAAGAGTGGAGAGAAATGTTGCTCGTTTTGTTGATGTAGATGATGAGTATGATGAGTATGCGACTGGATCAGATAGTGAAGATGATGGTAATTTGAGAGAGGAGTATTTCAGATACATCAAAGGTAGTGGCGAGTTGAAGATGAAAATGGTATTTGACAGTTTAGAGGCATTCAAGTCAGCAATGGTGGATTATGTGTTGAAGACAGGAAGAAATGTGAAGTATGTGAGATGGGATCCTGACAGATCAGAATTAAAATGTGCAAGTCGATGTGAGAAGGACAAATCAGAAAAAGAAAGAGGGACAGAAACTGAAGGAGATAAAGGGACAGAAACTGAAAGGGATAAAGAAATAGAAGGCGAGAAAGAAAATGAAGGAGAGAAGGAAACTGAAGAAGATGGAGAACCATGTGCATGGAAGATATACTGTTCTTATAAAGCACCATTACAGAAGTGGATGGTGAAGACATATAATGCTGCTCATAGTTGCTTAACGACTGGATATAGCAAGCTTCTTACTCAAGAGGTAATTGCTAAGTTGTTTGTGAATGATGTAAGGGATGATCCTACAATGATGCCTAAAAGAATTCAGAAGAGTATTCAAGATCGCTGGCATTTAACTACAACACCTGACCAGTGTAGATAGGCAAAGAAAAGAGCATTAGAGATGATCCAAGAAGAGCATGATGAACAATACTCAAGAATGAAAGATTACCGACTTGAGTTATTAGAGTAAGATCAGTCTCATTTTTCATTGTTTTATTGAATTTATATTTTTCTGAATTCATTGGTCTGACATGTATGTTATTATGTTTTGCTAGGTCCAATGTTGGTTCGACTGTGGTGCTTGATACATTTGAGGGAAGCAATGGACTGGATATGTTCCACAGATTTTACATCTGTTTTGCTAATATTCGGATGGCATGGTGTACATATTGTCGACCAATATTTGGTCTTGATGGCTGTTTTATGAAAGGTACTTCAGAAGGTCAGTTACTGGCTGCAGTTGGAAGGGATGCAAACAACCAGATGTATCCCATTGCATGGGCTGTTGTGGACAGAGAGGATGAAGACAATTGGAGATAGTTCATTGAGAAGCTGCAGAGAGATTTAAACCTTAGAGATGGTGATGGTTTTACTGTCATTTCAGATAGACAAAAAGGATTATTGAATGCTGTTTCCCAGCTATTGCCAAAAGTTGAGCATCAGATGTGTGCAAGACACATATATGCAAACCTAAGGAAAAACCATCCACATAGGGCTGACATGAAAAGTCTATTTTGGAAGGTTGCCAAGAGCTATAATGAGGCACAATATGAGAAAAGCTTGGAAAAGTTGAAGGCGTATGACATGAATGTCTTTAATTCAGTGATGCAGAAGAATCCAAAAAATTATAGTCTTACATTCTTCAAGCCAACAGCCTCTTGTGATGATGTAAGTAACAACATCTCTGAGTCTTTTAACCATGCCATTGACCCTGCGAGAGTAATGCCTTTGGTTGAAATGTTGGAAACAATCCGGAGAAGAGCAATGATTCGCATTGATATTAGAAGGAAGAAAGCAATGAGCCACAAAGGGAAATATTCTCTGAAAGCAATGGAGAAACTCGAATTGGAGCAGAAGAAGACAAAAAACTGTAAGGTAAATCCTTGTGGTGTTGGTGAGTATGAGGTAAAGGAGAAAAAATCGTCATTTAAGGTCTACATGGAGAAGCATTCTTGCACTTGTAGGAGGTGGCATATGTCAGGTCTTCCTTGTCGTCATGCTCTAAAGGTGATCTTAGACAACAAGAAGCTGAAACGCGATGACTATATATCATCTTGCTATTTGACATCTAGGTGGAGGAATCAGTACAATGCATTTATAAAGGGGGTTAGAGGCATGAACTTCTGGAAAAAATCTGGTGAAATAGAGCTTTTGCCACCCAAGACAGATACAACAAAAGGTAGAAAGCCAATTCCTAAAAGATTCAAGGAAAGGAATGAGTCACCACAAAAGAAGAAAAAGAAGACCATGGATTCTAAGACTACTGAGATTAAAGTTTCAAGAGAGAAAAGGATCATTCATTGTGGAAGTTGTGGTGAAGCTGGGCATAACACAAGGAGCTGCAAAAATGTTGGAGTTATACCTCCAAAGAAAAGCAAAGGGAAGACAGCGAAAGACGGATGTGAAGGACCAAGTCAACTAACTCAAAGCCAAGTCATTGACTAACATGTCAGGTTTGTGTATTAATTTTAATCTAGGATTTTGATTTATTTTCGGATGTAAAACTCAGATTATGATTCAAATTATGATGTAATTTTGGATTAAATTTTGGATTCTATTTGATTATGCATTTTGGAATCAATATGATGGTTTGTTAGAGATTATATTGTTTGTTTATACAGGTTTGATAAGATTACAACGTTTTATTTTTGTTGGGTAAGTGTGTAAAACGACGTCGTTTTTATTGATTGATGATGTGGCATCCTAGTCAGCCTTCCACTAACGGAACAGTAACAGTGTTACACGATTTGTGGGTTTAATCCATAATTGTTTTGTTCGCGGAGGTAATTCAAACTTTAGATTAGTTTATGTGGGTTTCGGCACAGTGTAAACTTCAAGGGAGGAATTGGCCAAAGTAAGTTAGTTTAGGGATGAAAAAGCCGTTTTCCCTATAGTTTGTTAGATGACAAAAACTCTTATGGAAATATATGTACAATTTCCTTATAATTAGCTTTTTACAATTAAAACTGTTTAAATTTATAATTATCCTTTTACTTTTTTTTTTAAAAGAAAATTTTATTTGACACAACATGTCAAAATCTCAGATCGAAAAATTTGACACGTGTCACGATCTCGTGAGTTATTAACTTTGAAAACCATACTATATAATAAAAAAAATTTAAACTGATAACAAAAGGAATAACTAAAGTGTTAAACAAATTCATATATTATTATTTGGAAGGATATCAAAACTTATTATTGTATTATTTATTTTGCAATTACATTTTTAATCAGTAGTATCCCACGCATCGCGTGGGTTTCTCTCTAGTACGTATATATGTTACATTTGTGTTATTAATATTCAAGTCACTTATATTTAAAATTGTTTATTAATTAAAAATTAGTGCTTAGATAATTAAATGTAATTTATCTCAAAATTAATTACTTTGACATGATTATTGGTGGAATCCATAATATTATTGTTGTAATGATGTTGACATCCTAAGAAGAGGGAAAACTCTCCCATTATATATACGTCGAACGAATGGATCTTCAAACTATTAAAATGTAGTCAATGTTTTGATATTCTAACTTAATTAAGTCTTCGATTTCTATTAAAGAAGTGCCACAGCTTATGCACCAAACCGCGTTCCGGTAAACAAACATATGTGTGAAGTTGACACTTATTATTGAATATATGCTAAATTGTTGAATTTCATTGTATTAAATGAATATATGCTTATTTTCTTTTCTCCAATAATTTCAGTTTTCTATATATACAACCTAGCTAAAACTGGTCAATATGTGATAGAAGAGGAGCAATGACAGAAAAGAAAACACAAACTTCTCTTCCTCTAAGTTTTCTTTTTATGCTTCTATGTTTATCCTTTCATGTTAGAGTAACGGATGCTAGACTTAGACTCCGTCACGTAGGTCAGTATCTATTTATCCCAAAATCTTTGCTACATGATTTAAATCATTTTATGAAATTTACTTTTAACTAATTGTGATTTATTCTTGTCGTAATATTTCGATCATCATTTGGCATTTTCTTTTAGTTAAAACAGTATATGTTAATGTCATCTATCAATTTGATTACAATAAACTAATACATGTAATCTTTTAATGTATCTAGTTCATATTCCTACTCCATCTTCGGGATACACTCCGCCCTCTAAACCGTGTGGAAGTGGTATTCACCATGTTGCCAGAGAATCAGAGAAGCCTTGTAGACTCCCTAGAAGACCTTCTGGTGCAGATCCTTAATCTCCATGTTACAGGAGATAAATAAAGAATTGAATATGTCCCATTGGGTTTCATCTTCCTAACAAATTTTAGAATCATTTGTTTCGTTCTTCCTTCTAGTCTTACGTAGACATGAATTTGTATTTCTTTTTAAATTACCTTTAGTGTTCCAATTTCTTATTCTGTGGGTATTGAACAATGTAGCTTGTTCGATAAGTTGCTTTACGTATTATTTTATTTCTGTCCAATATCGATGGGTAATGGCATATACTTATATGATATATGCCTATATGGTATTATATTGTGACTATGCAGCCAAAACTATCCACTTCTTGACATCAAATTTTATCGTAACGACCCGAAAATCACATTCCGTGAAAAAGGTTAGAAGTACTCATAAAGATAAATTGTTAAATTATTTGTGTTTATCAAATTATAAAAATTAAAATACTAGGAAATAGATTATAAATATTTTGAAAAAAAAAGGAAAATATATTCTATTGACGGCAAAATCCACAAGGTCTAATAGCCAAATAATGGCCTCTTACTAGTGGAAAACCTAATAAGAATCCCCCAAAACCCCCAATTTTTTAGCAAAATCCGACCTAAATGATAAGCCATTAGATGAGTGCCTTGTTCAAAAACTCGGCCAAATCGGCCGATTCCACGGCGGCTAGTCGCTCGGCGGCACCTTACCGCCGGGATTATAGTGTAATCGGTCAAATAATCGGCATAGTTAAGAAAAATTCAGTTTTTCTTATTTTTAAGTTTAGATTAGGTTAGTATGTGTTATATCTATAAGTTTTTGGTATAAAAGACAACAAAAACACATTAAAATGATTGATTTTGTAAGAAAGCATCCATGGCCGCCGCAAATTAGGGTTTTAAAGTCGCATCCCTTTGAAGAAGACAACACATTAAATTACAGTTTTACCCTCCATTAAAGAAAAATGGAAAAAATTGAATAATTGTGCATAGTTGGGGAATTGAACCCGTGCCACAGAGTAAAATCTCCATCAGAAACCACTAGACCACGCTTATAACATTGAAACCTTAGCAAAAATGCGATTTATATATTGTTGTAAAAAAACAACCTAAAACTAATCCCCGATTAATCCTCGATTAATCTCCGATTTCTTTGCTAGGAGCTAGGCCCGACCCGAGCGCCCGACTAGTGCCTAGCGATTTTTTTAACATGGGATGAGTGTTGTGTCTTCTTTAGTTGCATCGACAAGATATCGAGGAGGTTTATTCGGCTTAGAGCCGCATGACAGAGGCAAATCCACAGACAGTAGAGTTAGAGGTAATCTACGATCATTAGAGGCTTGTTTTTTTTTTTTTGGATAAAAAGATTATTATACGTAGTTATGTTACAATCTTTAATTATTAAATTTAGGAAAAATTCTAGAAAAACCTGCAAATTGAAACATTTTCTCAGCTAAAACCTCCAAATTCTTTCTATTTTCATATAAAACTTCTAAGTTAAAATATTTTTCTAACAAAAACTTTCAATTTTTTTTTGCTTCCCATATAAAACCAACAACTAATTAACTTTGTTTAAATAAACTTTAAAGTTGTCAAAATTAAGCTCGAACAAGACTAATGGTCAACGATAATTCTGTTCGGAATAGTAAAGGTCGTTGACGACATAATTTTTCGTTTATATAGTTTTCAAAATTTATATAACCCTAAAAATTAGGAAAAGATGTATTTTAGGATTCATAATTAAGATTTTCATCTTTTATTGTAACAAACAATATCGAAAGCTAAATAAACGGAAAAACAAGTTGTTAAAGACCGTTTACCGTTAGTCAACCATTGATCGGGCTCATTCATTTAGTTGGAAGTTTTATTTGAGAATGAAAAAAGTTAAAGATTTTAGTTGGGAAAATGAATCAACTTGGAAGTTTTATATGGGAACAAAAAAAGTTGGGGATTTTAGTTGGAAAACCGTTTCAACTTGGAAGTTTTTTTTTCTGAATTTGTTTATTTATAAATTCACATATATTTTAATATACTTGGTAAGTATTTTTGGAGGAGAACTTTCTACAACGTTTTTTTTTGTTTCATAAACTTTTTTTTTCCTCTTGTAAAAATACTTATTGAATACTCTTCTGTACGTAGGCATATGGTATGACCTGGTCCAAATGTCTGATTATACTGGCAGAAAGTAAAAAACTTAAGAGTCAAATTTTAACTTTATTGAGAAACTGTGTGATTTGATCATCTCCTTTAATATATAAAGCCCAAAAATTTTGAGTGGTAAAGAAACATCTTAATTTGACAGAAATTTAGGTTTATATTTTTGAACGAATTGAACGAATCTTCAAACTATTAAATTATTCAATAGTATGAATGAAGTATATGATATCCAAACTTAACTAAGTAGTCTTCGATTAAAAAAGTGCCACAGCTTATGCATTAAACCGCTTTATGGTAAACAAACATACATAATTGTTGAAGTTGACATCTATTATTTTATTATTATTATTTTTTTTATTTTTATTGTTATTGAATATAGAGTGAATTAAATCAATAACCATTTCTAATAAGTGAAAATATCATTTAAATCACCACCTGGCCATTTGTGGTGGTTTAAAGCATCAATTCTGAACCTATTGATTTTAATCCTCAATTTTTAGTTGACTTTCAATTTAATCTCTAACTTTCGTTGACGAAGCCGATTGAGGCACGTCGTTAACTGGGCAAACGGAGCATTGAGACGCTGTTATCTGTCCGTTTACTATGCCCGTTAATTAGCAAAACGACGTCGTTTGCTATCAAAAGAAAACCCCCAAATTCGTTCTCTCGTTTCCAATTCCCAGAAATCCCCAAATCAAAAACCCAAACCCTAGATCTCTCTTCCTTTGCGATTTTGTCTTTTCTTCTTCGAATTGTCTCTTCTTCTTCAAATTCGAAGCATTCTCTCGTATAGTTTGGGAGAATCTCGTATCTATGGCACCGAGAGAGACGAGTAAGCGTCGTCCCAAACGTAAGAGAGATGATGAATCGACTGCTCCCAAATCGACTGCTCCTGAATCGATTGCTCTCGACGTGATTGCTCCTGAATCGACTCCTGGTGATGGTAAAGCTCTAATGTTGTACAGAGCTGAGCCTGTTCCCTTAGACCAGCGTTCGAGTTTTAGCTATGAGGAAGACCGTGAAGATTGTGGTGTTGCAAGTGATGATGATTTTGATGATATTTGGTACGAAGCTGCTGGCGAGGAAGACGGAAACCAGGAAGAGGAACACGAAGATGGAGACACTGTTGGTGTAGAAGAAGAAAGATGCGATGACTTCGAAGCAGAATTTGGGGATGGTGCGAGAGAAGAGAAAGATGAGACAGATGCAGATAGTGGAGATGATATTTTCGATGATGAGAAAATTCCAGATCCTAGGTCAGCAAGTGAAGACGAAGAAGATGGCGAAAGAGATGATAATGCAGAAGCTGAAGATCCTGAAGTGCTGCTGAGTATTGGGAAGACCTTTAGTTCCCCAGAAGACTTCAAGATAGCTGTTTTGAGGTATTCTCTGAAGACTAGATACGACATTAAGTTGTATAGGTCGCAGTCTATGAGGATTGGTGCCAAATGTGCTGATACAGATGTTAACTGTCAGTGGAGATGCTACTGCGCATATGAGAAAAAGAAACAGAAGATGCGAGTAAATGTGTTCATGAATCAACACATATGTGTGAGATCAGGTTACACTCACATGTTAAAGCGAGGTACGATTGCTTGGTTGTTTGCGGATAGGTTGAGAAAGAATCCAAAGATGACCAAACAGGAAATGGTGTCAGAGATTAAGAGAGAATACAATCTGGAAGTCAGTGAAGAGCAATGTTCTAAGGCAAAGTCAAGAGTTAGGCGAGAAGCAAGAGCTAGTCATCAAGAACATTTTTCACGGATATGGGATTATCAAGCAGAGATTTTTAGATCAAATGATGGTTCAAAGTTTGAGATTGAGACTATCCCAGGGCCTGCAATTGGAAACATGCAAAGGTTCTATCGTCTGTTTATGTGTTTTAAATCACAGAGGGACTCTTGGAAGCATACATGTAGACCAATCATAGGAATAGATGGAGCATTTTTGAAATGGGACATCAAGGAACATCTCTTGGCTGCAGTAGGTAGAGATGGGGACAATAGGATAGTGCCACTTGCTTGGGCAGTTGTTGAGATAGAGAATGATGACAACTGGGATTGGTTTATGAGGTTGCTATCAACTACTTTAGGGCTTACGGATGGAAGAGATGTGGCTGTCATATCTGACAAACAATCGGTTAGTATGTTAGATTTGAGATTATACTTGTAAATGCTACCAATTGTAACAAATGTATTGTATTTTGCAGGGGCTTGTGAAGGCTATACACAACATTCTTCCTCAAGCTGAGCATCGTCAATGTGCTAAACATATCATGGATAATTGGAAGAGAGATAGTCATGATATGGAACTACAACGTATGTTCTGGAGGATTGCACGCAGCTACACCACAGGCCAATATGCAAAACACATGGAAGCATTGCAGAAGTATAATTCTCATGCTTATACTTCTCTACTAAACACCAACCCGATGACATGGTCTAGAGCTTTCTTCAAGGTAGGTACATGTTGCAATGATAACTTGAACAATCTTAGTGAGTCTTTTAATAGAACCATACGGCAAGCTAGAAGGAAACCGTTACTGGAATTGCTTGAGGAAATTAGGAAACAATGTATGGTTAGGAATCAAAAGAGGCATATCATTTCTGGTAGATTGAAGACAAGATTCACTAAGAGAGCTCATATGGAGATAGAAAGAATGATAGAAGGGTCACAGTTTTGCACCATAAGCATGGCTAGGCACAATAAGTATGAGGTAGAGTTGCATGAAGATAAATATTCTGTTGATATGAATGAGCATAAATGTGGATGCATTAAGTGGCAGATGACTGGTATTCCTTGTGTTCATGCGGCTGCTGTGATCATATCAAAGAAGCAGAAGGTTGAAGATTTTGTTAGTGATTGGTACACAACAAGAATGTGGCAGCTAACATATGCAGATGGTATTGAGCCTGTCCAAGGTCAGATGGAATGGCCTAGAATGAATAGATTGGGAGTCTTGCCACCACCATGGAGAAAAGGCAATCCGGGTAGACCAAATAACCATGCAAGGAAGAAGGGAAGGTATGAATCTAAGACAGCAACCACAAGCACAAGAATGTCACGCAAGGACAGAATCATCACATGTGGAAACTGCAAACAAGAT